CGTCCAGCCGGGCTCGGTCCCGGTGCGCAGGGGTCGGGGCTCAGGGCTCCAGCTCCGCACGCGGGGATCGGGAACCCAGCCCCGGACGCGCGCCGTCCCCAAGGAAACCGCGCGTTTGGTGGCGAAGATGGAAGCTGAGTTGGGAACTGCTGAGGAGCCTGGGGCCCTCCGTCGCGAGCACCAAGGACTGCGGCTCAGCTGAGGGTGGAGCGGCCCCGCGGCGCCCCGCCCTCCGGCCTCCGTCTTCCTCGGGCTCGGGGAAGGGCGGAACCGGAACAGACCCCGGGCAGCACCAGGGAGCCCGCCCAGGCGGCCCGGGCCCACTGCGCAGGCGCGGAGCGGTGCATTTCGGGACGTGTAGTTTCCGCGTTCCAGCCGGGCTCGGTCCCGGTGCGCAGGGGTCGGGGCTCAGGGCTCCAGCTCCGCACGCGGGGATCGGGAACCCAGCCCCGGACGCGCGCCGTCCCCAAGGAAACCGCTTCTTTTCTCTCATTTTGGGGATGTTTCTTTGTCTCCCCATTTTTGCTGTCTCTTTGTATTTGCTTCTATGTATTAGATAGAACTGCCATGCCTCCCAGTCTTTGTGGGAGGGCCTTATGTAGAAGGTATCTTGAGTGGTCCAGTGGTGTACTCTTTTTGTTAACCTAAGCTGGACACTCTAGGAATTCCCCTTGTGTGCATTTTTGGGGCTCTCTTATTGTAATTGGGAATTGAGTATTGATGTCCCATGTGTGCAAGAATTTGCTGCCAGTTAGGTTTGACCCCAATGTCTTCTTGCCATCTGTCCTTAGTTGGGGACTCCTTAGCCCAGAGGCTGGCGGCGTGCGTAGGCTGGCACGTGGCCCGGGGTTGGGGCTGGCCAGAGGTGCTGGTGTCCGAGGGGCTTGGGGACGAGTGCGTGTTCCGGACGCCCTGTTCAGTGGAAGGGCTGGGGTGTGAGGGGGCCGGTGTTGCTCCCGAAGTTTTGGGGTCGGAGAGGACCCTGGCCGGTTGCAGAGGCGCTGAGACCCAGAGGGGCTGGGTGAGGGGCTGGGTGGGAAGGGTGGAGACTGGAGGGAGAACGGCTTGGGACGTTGGGACTAAGGACACGGCTAAGTGGTGGCTGGCAGGAGGTCAGACACCAGGGCGGAGACCCCCCTGGACGCCCCGGAGTCCGCCGGGTGTGCCAGGAGGAAGTAGGTCGCGGGCAGTACTGTCCATGTCGCTTCAGGTGGCCTAGCCACAGTCGGCGAGTAGCTTTTCTGTCTTTCGAGAAATCCGGCCAAAGAGCAAATCAGGATATTTTTGCAGTAAAGGAAATAGAACTATTTCTCTCTAAGCCATTATGAGTTCAAATGTTTTTATTGATTTTTTAGAGGAAGGTGGAGGGAGAGGTAGAAACATCAATGAGAGAGAATCATCCATCGGCTGCCTCCTGCCCGCCCCGCACTGGGGACCTTGATGGGAATGGAACCCGGACCCGGGCCAACGCTCTATCCATTGAGCCACACCGGTTCGGGCTATTTTTTAGTTTTGAGCTGAGACTGAATAGTTCCAGGGGAGCTTAAAGTGCCTGCACTACTTAGGTTGACTCGACGCCTCAGCGTTGTCCCGGGCTTGGCGTTTGCAGACAGCAGCTGCCTCCCTTTCTCATTGCACCCGGTGTTTGTATGGAGTCAGCACACGGGCCGGATATTTTTAGCCTCCTCCGCTTTCACTTGCTGAAGTCCTGCGAGGCCTGCAGAGTGGGAGCTTGTCACTGAGGGCGATGGGGGACCCCCCCCCCCCAAAGTGGATGGAGGCAGAGGGTGAGAGGAGCCACACTGATCTGATCTGCCTCTCCTCCCACCCTCACCGCACCCAACACTATTTGCAGGTTGACCTTCTGTGTTTCTCTCCTAAAGAGCGTCAGTTGAATCACTCCAGGCGTGAAGTCGAGGCAGGTGCCAGTATGTTTTTACTGTCTGGTTCCGTGATATCAGAGAGAATAGAATGGTGGCTTCCGAATTCCAGAGTTGCAGCATTGTTCTTTGGATTCTGATTTTTTTAGAAAATATATTTTTATTGAATTCAAGAGGGAGAGAGAGAGATGGAAACATCAATGGTGAGAGAATCATTAATTGGCTGCCTCCTGCACACCCACTACTGGGAATCAAGTCCACAACCTGGGCATGTGCCCCTGACTAGAATCAAACCTGGGACCCTTCAGTCTGCAGGCCGATGCTCTATCCACTGCACCACACCGGCCAGGGCTGGGTTCTGATTTTTAAAATGAGGACACTTTGGCTCAGAGAGGTTCACGACGTGCCCCAGGTCACATGCCCTGCCTTGGGTGCCACCGGGAATAGAGTGCAGTGCAGATGCCCCCTCTCCTGGTGCTCGGGCGGTCTCTAGACCATGGCCGCTGTCTTGCAATGACTACATTTCTCACTGGATGTCCCTTGGTTATGGTCTTCAGCTTGGCCTGTCCATTAGCAGAAGGAGAGGCCTTTATCATGACCGTCATGGTTGACATTTATGTACCGTGGGCTGAGGGTGGAGCCCAGGGTTTCTCCTCCAGTCCCGAAGGCGGATGTACAGCTGAGGGAGCCGAGGCTTGAGAGGGGCCAGGTGACGTGTCCACGGCCACACCACTAGTGAGCCCACCTAGTACAACAGATCCTCCAACGTCTGTCCTTCTGTCCAGTGTTGTTTCATTACAACATCGATGAGGTGTCGTAGGAACTGAACTTGTTTATATTCATTGGCCTCCTGTAAAGTGGGGTCCACTGTATGTCATTTCGCTTGAGGCTGCAGAACCAGTTGCCTGCTGTGGGAGGCCTCGCTGTACATGTTGCCAGAGGGCCAGACAACAGGGTGTTCTTTTTAATCTACTTCCTCCTGTAAATGTTTTGGACCTATTTGTTGTCCTTGACCTTGGGAATCAAGGTATGTCGTGGGGAACAGCCAAGCTCACCTACCGTATTTGTACACAACTCAAAGGAGTTGTAAAAGTAAAATGTACACAACCCTCAAATATTTTATTTTCATTTACAACATGGCTAATCCCTGAGCTTATTAGAGATTACTCAAAGTGGAAACTCTAGCAACACTTCCGTGCAGATCAGAATCTGCTGCTACTTAAAGACAAACGGGCCATTTACACAGGAAGGTCAGCGCTGACCTTCAATCACACGTAAACAGATTATGGTGTAAATTCCTCTTGTTAGCTTATCTGACTTTGCAAAAGTCATGGGGTAAACTTGGCTATCTGGTGCCAACGCCCAGCTTTTCAGGGTACTGTGACCTTGAATAGATGAGGTTTGAATTTTTTAGAGAGAGAGGGAGTGAGAGAGAAACATCAATGTGGGAGCAAAACATCAATCGGTTGCCTCCTGCGCGCCCCTTCCTGCCCCCAGGGATTGAGCCAGAAACCCAGGTATGTGCCCTGACCAGGAATTGAACCGGCAACCTCTTCAGTGCCTAGTACGACACCCAACTGAGCCATAACAGCCAGGGCTGAACTTTTTATATTTAGATGCTTTTGTAAGTGAAAAAGTTTTCTAGAAACATCTCTGAAGTTTGTCTTTCCTCCATTCCGAAGGCCTACGAGACTTTCCGCTGTTTCTCTTCATTTTAGTTGTGGGTATATTTAAAGAAAAGCATCCGTGCGGTTTTTGAGTGCAGAGCTCTCTGCCTCCATCAGGATAAGACTGTGGGGCCAGACTGGAGGGTTGAGTCCCAGCCCCCCTCCCCTGCCTGTGACCCTGGACGTGTCTCATAAACTCTGTCCGGGCTCTGGGGTGGCGACGGTGAACTCCCCTCGGAGGGCTGGTGTGAAGGCTGAGTGAGTGGGCGCATCACTGCCGCCAGCCTGGCTGGGCACCGCGGCGCAAAGCTGTACGTTTCCACGTTCTAGGAGCAGGAGGGGCCCTGGGCCCGGCCAGTCGACACCCCCTTTCTTCGTTTGCAGATGGGACCGAGGCCCCAAGAGGGAAGTCGCCCGAGTGTGTAGTGTCTGCATCCCGAGCTCAAGCCTTCTGACTCCTGGGGTATGTGTCACCGTCTCGAAATAGTGACAGCGAGGCCTCAGAGCCGCCCTGCGCTCCGCCGTGTCCCTGCCTGTCACGCCCTGCCCCACTTCCCCCGGGCCCCGCACTTTAGGCGGGAATTCTAGGCCGCAGTGGCTTTCTCAGACAGCGTTTCCCGTGTCATGTACTCCCTTCCCTCGATAGTTTTTAAAAGCCTAGATTCACTTAATTAACACTCAGGGGACCCGAGAAAGCCTCTCACCCTCAGAGCAGCTCTGGTTCCGGGCAGGAGGGGTGGAGGGACCGACTTTGGACCTGGGCTTTGACGTGCCTCGCGAGTGGAGTGGGAGCACCTGTCCCCGTGGGAGCAGCAGGGCCCCGCTGCTTGCGGCTGTGCTCCCGTTCCCAGCAGGTCAGCCAGATCTTTCCGCCCAACAAGCCGCGCCTGTCCCGGCTCTGACCCAGGTCGCGGCTCCCCACCCGGCTCCGGGCCAGCTTGCTGGG